AAATATATAAAAAAAAACTTGTGTCAATGTATTGGTGACTATTAAAGGAAGTCTTTCTATGCTGGAGTGACTGATAAGAAAAAAAATTGAATAAATAAAGTGAACAGTGACAGGAAATTGATGAACAATGGGATTTAGTCCCACGATATTAAGCGCTCCGAGCGCTTCTTATCAATAAAAGAAAATAAGAAGAAAAAAAAATTTAATTCAATTAAGTAAAGTCAGTGTCTGTAGCCTATATAGCCTCTACCTACATACAAAGCTATCATCATCATTATTCTTATTATTATTACATTAATCATCATCATCATCAGCCATATGTGTGTGCGTGTTTAAATAAATGTGCATTTTTTTCCAAACTCATATTCGTGTAATTTCGTCAAAATAATAAAAGAATATAAAGGAACCGAGCAATTTAATAAAATTTTATTAAGTGTGCAATTTTGTGAATCATCTAAGACGCATATAGGAACTGGAATGAACTTGAAAATATTTTTTTAGGGTGTAGCTTGACAATTGACAGTGAATTTTGAATTTCTAACCTCAAAAAGTATTGAAAAAGTGCAAAAATTAATAGGCTAGGCCGTAAAAATCGGGAACTGGAACCGAAAAAATTTAATAATCAAGAAACAGCTGGAGAACTTGCCAAAAAATCAAGGCAAGTCCGTAAAAATCGGGAACTTGAACCGAAAAAATTAAAACTCAAGAAACACCTATAAAATTTGCCAAAAAATCAAGGCAAGTCCGTAAAAATCAAGAATAATTTTAAACAAGTGAAAGTTGGTAGCATCCGAAAAAATCGGGAAATTTTAAACTAAACCCCTTCAATAAATCAAAGGCACTACCATAAAATATCCATAAATCCAGCTAAAATCCAAAATTATAGCAACTACAACAGTATTTCCGTGCAATTGTGATTTCATAATACTCGGCAACATCTAAATAACCTTGAAAATAATTTGTACAAGATTTAAAAAAATACACAAAATAAAAAGTCGTGTGGATAAATAAAACAGGTGGAAAATTTTCGGTGTACGGATAAAGCAACAACAGCATTGAACATCGTTGCCTGAAATTAATTGGATTATAACGTTTGCATTTAATTGAGATTAAAAGACTCATTGAGATTAAAAAAGCATCTACGAGGAAGTTGAAAAGTGAGTATTTTTGGGATGTTCTAGTATTTTAGAGCAGTGTTGGTCAACCTTTTTTGTTCCACGGCACACCTTTGTGGGAAGCATTGACTGCAAACGCACACGGCAAACATTTGTTGGGATTTCTAGAAGCTTTTAACTGTACACTGATGTGCCGCGGTACATAGGCTTGCCATCACTGATTTAGGGTATATAAAATTCAGGGATTGGCCGTAAAATATTTTATTCTGATTAAAATTTTGTGTCAAAAGGTCAAAAGTCGTGTGTCGTGCACGGTTTTTTGTCAATTTAGACTGATAGGTACAAAAAGTCGTGTGTTGCGCACGGTTTGAGTCAGTTTTGCCTAAAGATTGCAAAAGTCGTGCGTAGCTTACGGTTTTTGTACAGCTATAATAAAAAGGTACAAAAGTCAGGTTCAAAATACGGTTTTTGGTCAATTTAGACAAAAGGGTGCAAAAGTCGTGTGATTTGCATGGTTTTGAGACAGTTTATCCTAAAGGGTACAAAAGTCGTGTGATTTGCACGGTTTTGAGTCAGTTTATCCTAAAGGCTGTAAAAGTCGTATCCAGCACACAGTTTTTTGTCAGATTAGACAGAAAAGTACAAAAGTCGTGTGTTGGGCACTGTTTTGGGACAATAAACCACTGAGGTACAAAAGTGGTGCTCAGTGCACGGTTTTGGATACATTTTATACAAAAAATCTCAATAGTCCTGTTCAGCATACGATTTTCACGTTCTCAAAAGCCAAAAGCAATCCAAAACAGGCTATTTTAAGGCCAGCATGCCTTATTGACCTAAATTCAATCCATTTTGCATTCAAATATAATAATAATAATCAATACAGATATTAATGCAAAGCCTTTTTCAAATTGATTGCGATAAGCCTTTTTTTTTGTATTTAGAACTTCCTGTCCTGTCTGCATTATGGAAACTGCTTGCTGTTCAATTTATAAAATAATAGGACATTATCATGCATTTCATGTCCTGTATTATCTATAATCCCAATCGAATAATTACATTTCGTAATGATATTTATAGCATGCATGCATAACGATAAAGGTTAATGAAATCTATTGAAATGTGTAAAGCTTGGATGATAGCTTTATTAATCCACATAGCTTGTGGTGATTTTTTTTGGGGATGATTTGAACTGAACGAGGAGTTTATTGTTCTGGATTGTTAGAAACTGTGCATTATTCTTGACTTTGGTGTCTAGAATGGTTTAAAATCGTGCGCTGCATACGACTTTTGTCCTGTCTTGTCTAATCTGACTCATAACCGTGCGCTCTGCACGACTTTTGTACTGTCATGTCTAAACTGACGCACAACAGTGCGTTCTGCACGACTTTTGTACTGTCATCTCTAAACTGACACATAACCGTGGGCTGGACACGATTTTTGTACTGTCATGTCTGAACTGAAACATAACCGTAGGCTGAACACGACTTTTGTACTGTCATGTCTAAACTGACACATAACCGTGCGCTCTGCACGACTTTTGTACTGTTATATCTAAACTGACACTTAACCGTGCGCTCTGCACGACTTTTTCACTGTTTTAGCAAAATCACCCCCAAAACCGTAAGTTGCTCATGACCTCAGTACAAATTGATCAAAATTGAATATACCTGGAAAGTCCCATTCACATCTAGTCAATCAATTGTCAATATTTACAACTCAAATCAAATTCCAAAAACGTTTTATGACCCTAAAATAACAATTTCATAAAACTAAATCCATAAATCGCCCCAAAAATGATTTTTCACATAAAAAATCTCCACATAACATCGACTTTCCATTATCAAAAAAAAAAAAAAAAATCAAAAATCACCCGAGCAGCACAAATGTGTAGTCAGTTACGTTAGATTATTATCGTTATGCCTTATTTGACCGGTAATTCACATTACTCATGACTTGCCATGACTTAATAATTCAAATTAGCATTCCACACGTACGACCAATCGGTTCGAACATGGAATCGATAGAGAGACTTAGAGCCGAAGTTATGAAAAATTCATAAATGACCTTTTGGACTGAATTGTAAACAAAAATAAAATATTATTCATGAAGAATCCGAAAATAAATTTGTTGGAGGTGGACTTGAATTTCTATTTTATTAAAGAGTTTAATTGGGAAGAATTTTTTGAGGTTATGTTGCTTTAAAGTTGACATTCTAACCTCAAACATTCCAACTTCTTTAACATAACCTCGAAATTTCCTCCAACAAAACAAAGGAACAAAAAATTGAGAAATTCAATAAAAATTCAACAAAAAATTTATTTTCCTTATCGCACAATTTCGGTCAACTTTTATTGGGATTTTAACCCTTTTTGGGTGCATTTGAAGATTCTTAAAACCTTTTTTTGTGATCAGCAAAATTTGATAAATCTTGAAAGTCTATTTAAGGAATTTCTCATAAAAACGTGTAAGGGGAGTCCTCACATGTAATCTGAATCACCTGTAACAGAAAAATAAGGATATTAGTTGAAAACGATTTCGAGGTTTTGGTGACTAGAGCGCATTTGACTTAAACTTGGATTATCTGAAGCACAGGTTTCACTTCAGCTTAGATTTAACTGAAGTTCAGCTTTAACAGCTGCCCAGCTTTAAATTAAGCTTAGCTTTAACTGCAGCTCAGCTTGAAATTAAGCTCAGATTTAACTCGAGCTGAGATTGAACTGCAGCTTAGCTTTAACTGCTGCCCAGCTTTAACTGCAGCTCAGCTTGAACTTAAGCTCAGATTTACCTGAAGTTCAGCTCATACTGCCGCCAAGCTTTAAATTAAGTTTAGCTTTAACTGCAGCTCAGCTGGAACTTAAGGTCATATTTAACTGAAGCTCAGCTCATACTGCAGCCCAGCTTTAAATTAAGTTGAGCTTTAACTGCAGCATAGCTTTAACTTGAGCTCAGATTGAACTGCAGCTTTGCTTTAGCTGCAGCTCAGCTTGAACTTAAGCTTAGCTTCAACTGCAGCTCAGATTTAACTTGAGCTCAGATTGAACTCCAGCCTTGCTTTAGCTGCAGTTCAGCTTGAACTTAAGCTCAGATTTAACTAAAGCTTAGCTCATACTGCAGCCCAGCTTTAAATTAAGCTTAGCTTCAACCGCAGCTCAGCTTTAATTTGAGCTCAGATTGAACTGCAGCTTAGCTTTAACTGCTGCCCAGCTTTAACTCGAACTCAGATTGAACTGCAGCTTAGCTTTAACTGCAACTTAGCTTTAACTGCAGCTCAGATTGAAATCAAGCTCAGATTTAACTGATGCTCAGCTCTTACTGCAACCCAGCTTTAAAGTAAGCTTAGCTTTGGTTGCAGCTCAGCTTTAATTTGAGCTCAGATTGAACTTAAGCTAAGATTTAATTGCAGCTTAGATTCAACTGCAGCTTAGTTTTAACTGCAGCTCAGATTGAACTTAGACTCAGATTGAACTGAAGTTCAGCTTTGACCAAAGCTCAGCTATAAGCATCCTCAAATACAAATAATATTATAACAAAGCGATTCCATCACAAAAATTGCATCCTAAAATTTTTTTTTTGTCCTCGTGTTCCAATTTATTCCAATATGCTCACCTTTTTTTTGTTGTTCTTCGTTTTTATTCACAGAATCAAATAACACAAAAAAAAACGAGGAGAAAAAGAGGCACACACACGAGTCACATTGTTCATTCATAGCAGAATTTAGCAAAGAAAAAGAAGAAGAAAAAAAAGTCATTGATGGCACAAAAGAATATGAAAAAAGCCATAAAAATGAGCATCGAATGAAAACAAGAAGAAAAGCAACAAATTTTTCATCTTTATTTGTGTGCGTGTGAAAATAAATTTTTTATAAACGTGTGTATCAATGTGTTAGTGAGATTACAACTACAAACACAGTATTTTTTCGAAAATAAGAAAAAAAAGACAAAAATAATAATAATTTTTTTTAAATAAGAAAATCAAAGAACAAAAAATAATAGAAAATGACAAGACTTAGGACATTCCAGTTAATTCTGCTCGTATGCAGTTGGAATGTTGTCAATAGCAAAAGCAACAGTCAATCAAATGGCAATAGTACGAAAGGAGTTATTCGGCATCAGCAAACGTTCGAGACGAAGTTGAATCATCTCGTTGTTGATGTCATTGGAAATAGGGTGAGTAAAGGCTTTTATTTTTTTCCTCATTCTTTTCAGACTTCTTGTCGCTATCGACATGACGATGAATGGGATTTGTTGTATTATGGCTTCTCCCAACTGGGAATTACTGTATGCATAAATATGAATTGAAAGTTGGTCGGGTGGGAAAACTGCTGTAAATTAATACTGGGTGGGGTTATGGATGGGATGTAATGTGGATCTATTAAGAGTTATTTGAACATATTTATATAATTTTGAATTTTATCAAACATTTCAAAGTTTTTTTCACAATATTAAAATTTTGGATTTCTTTCTCATTTTCAATGCTTAATATTAGAAAAACTAGATTCTTAACTTAATGAATCGGTTATAATTATGGCGAATCGGTTATAAATATGGCGAATTGTTTATAAATATGGCTAATCGGTTATAAATATGGCAAATCGGTTCAAAATATGGCAAATCGGTTCCAAATATGGTGAATCGGTTCAAAAAATAGCGAATCTGCTGCACTTTTAAAAATACGTCAATTGCATCTAAATTCCGAATTTTCCGACCAACCCTATCCCACCTCACCTCTCAAATATCCCCTTCAGTACATATTTTATTATGTATTCCATTACTGCATACTTTCGATCGCTTTGAGACTTTTCAGAGTGGAAAAATAATTTTTTTTCTTTCCTCGACTCTTATTTTGTGTATAATTCTGCCTCCTTTTGAAAATGAATGGCGATGTTGTTCCTATGGGAATTTGTCGTTAAGGAAAAAAAATATTTTTCCACTACGAACGACCGAGTTTGTGTCATTTTAAATTTTATGCTTTGCTTCATATTAAAGAGAAATGCATGAAATTTGTGAAAAGAATTTTTTTAAAAGGGGAAAAGAAGTTTTTAAAGTTGGGATGGAAATTTAATTGAAAATTTAAAAAAAGAGAGTTTGATGATTTTGAATGATTTTATAGCTGGTTGACAGGAATTGAAATAATAAGAATTTTTGTAAAAAATTTAAAATTTTATAAATCCTGACTCAATTTTATAATTTTTTTTATTAAAAAATCCTTGTTCACTTCATTAACTTCAATATCAGCAGAGCTTTCCACAATTTTTTAATTAAAAAAATACATTTTCAATATTTCCATTCAAATGTTTATTCAAAGCAAATTTTCCCAACACAAAAGGTTCATTAAATTTATTATAGTTTTAAACACATTTCATAATTCATAGCTTTCAGGCCAAGCTTAATTCAAACGCACTAAACAAGAACTCAATAATTGTTCAACTTTCAAGTTTGTATCCTTTCCAAGCTAAGAATTTATTGAAACGTAAATTGAAAGGTTAATCGAATAAAATTGACCTGAATTTTGAAGAATATTCATTTTTAAGTGAAAAATTGACTCAAATGAAAATATTTTTATATTTTTTCATGTGAAGTAGGTCATTTTGTGGATTTGTGATTAATTATGCAGTATTTATCAGTTAAATGAGGATGTTGAGAGGCTCAGTGGGTTTTGAATAAATTCATAATTTATGAGGAAATTGAAAATTGTGTCGAGTCGGATTTTTTATTTTAAAAATATTTTAGCATGAATGACACGAATTGGAATGATCTCACATCCATTTGAAGGGCAACTGGTGTATTTCAAGTCTCCAGATCTCCCTTATATGTGATAAAAGTCATTTACGAACTTCTTGTTCATCTGTGGTTCATTTTTTCACAAACACACCACTGCAAATGCCTTGCAGCCACCAAAAAAACTCTTCATAAAGCTCTCAAAACCAATTAAATTCTTAAAACACATCACAACTTTGTAAATTTCAATTTAAAATTCAATTTTCATTCAAAAAAAAGTTTAAAATGTAATTTTCGCTTAGCAAAAAAAATTTACAATCTAATTCAGCCCACCCGATTACAGCCATCATCATTGTCATCATCACAACATATAAAGGATGAAGGTGACTGATAATCTTAATGGGGGAGGCAATGACAATAATATTTTATGTATAATGATGAAAATTGGTAACATAATATTGATTGTTATGTTCTTCGAAGACATAATAATAATATGTGGGGTTGGGGGAAGGGGTGTAGTGGGTGTGAGAATGTGAATGTAATGTGATAGGGCGATAAGCGGAACAGATATGCGAGATAGATTTAAATGGAATTGTTTTTTTCTTCCTTTTCTCAGCCCCCTTATTTGTCACTCATTCTGTCTCTTTATCTGTGAAATGTGAATATGTAAATTTTTTTATGATTCTTAAGGCGGAGGAAATTGCTTGTTTTAGACGAATTTTTCAGATGTTTCTTGTCGTTGTTGGGTTAATGAATTTTTTTACAGATGTGAAAATTGAATTCGGAGTTTGAATGAATTTTGAGGGGGTTAGATTTTCTGTCAATTTTGCTGAATGAAGATAATCGGTTTAAAATATGGCGAATCGGTTCAAAATGTGGCAAATCGGTTTAAAATATGGCGAATCTATTCAAAATATGGCGAATCAGTTTAAAATATGGCGAATCGGTTTAAAATATAGCGAATCGGTTTAAAATATGGTGAATCGGTTTAAAATATGGCGAATCAGTTTAAAATATGGCAAATCTTTTCAAAATATGGCAAATCGGTTTAAAATATGGCGAATCGGTTTAAAATATGGCAAATCGGTTTAAAATATGGCGAATCGGTTTAAAATATGGCAAATCAGTTTAAAATATGGCAAATCTATTCAAAATATGGCGAGTCGGTTTAAAATATGGCGAATCGGTTTAAAATATGGAGAATTAGTTTAAAATATGGCAAATCTTTTCAAAATATGGAGAATTTACTCAAAATATGTTTCCGCATCTAATTTCCTAAATTAAAGCGGCAACTTTTTGTTCAAATTCAACAATTTTTATGAAAAAAAAAGAATTAAAAACACTCAAAGCCCCCAAAAACATGTGACACAACCTCAAAAGTCTTCAAATTTCTCAACATATCTTCAATTCAACCACAATTTCCACCCAAACACCCCCTCAAGCCACCAAAAAAAAAAGAACTCACAAGACCAACTTCCATATTCACTCTGATATTTACCCTCAATATCTACTCACTTTTAGCATCAAACCACTAACCGCATACATAGGCACACAATAGATACTTCAAAATATGTCTCGAAGCTGTGCGAATTGAAAATGTCACATCCAATTAATAGCAAAAAAGAAAATTTTTATTCTGATAAGTTTACATTTTCATGTCGTTGACATTTCTGGTCATTGCCGATGGGCTTCATTTTGAGTTCATATTTTAGATTGTTGTGTTAATAAAGTTGATGGTTGAAGGGGAAATGGGAGAGTTTTGTTAAGATTCAGACAGATGGGACAATGCTGGAGGTGGTTGGCTGCAGTTTTGGGAGTTTTATGCTGGTTTTTGGGTTGCTGAGCTTTGAAACTGAACAAATAATCTTAATTCTTAAGTTAACTTCCAATCTTAACCAACTCCACAGCAAATAACGCCTAGATTTTAGATTAAACATCTTAAAGTCATAAAAGTTGTCAAAAACGTCCATTTACAAGCTCTTTTTAACCCCGAACTCCTAATTTCACTCCTCATTCCATCTTTCTCATCAATTTCGCATTCATTCCCCCTTTTCATCACAAGAAAAAAAAATGAAAATTCATTTCATCCCTTCACCGACATTGCCATGAAGCGAAATTAAGTGCATAAATTTTTTTTTTGTTCAACATACACACAGACATAATATTATTGTATTATGTACATAAATGATGTTTAGATGAAGAAAATTTGTCAATCAAATTGTCCATTAAAACAAGTGCCATTCAAGTTGATGTACTTCATCAAAAATGAGATGGAAAAAATAAAATTATTTTTTTTGCTGTTGATGCTTCCTTGGGAAGGATGAAAATAAACAGCAGGACATAAAGTGATGATTTCCAGAAGACGTGGATGAATGTTTATTAAAATGATACATCTTGAAATGGGAATAAATCTACCAGAATGTGGGTAATGAAGTGCTATGGGGAAATGGGAATTTATGGAAGAAATTAGGTTAACGTGTTATTGCAATTTAGATATTCATCATATGTAAAGTTTTTGTCTTGAGTTGCTGTAATTTGATTAGAAAATGCTCGGATATGCATGTTGCCACTTTTTACTGTCTCAATTAGTCTAAACTTTAGTATGATATTAGTTTTGAGTGTAAATTTTTAATGAAAAACTTTTTGAAGTGGAGAAATTTTAGAACAAAATAAATGTGTACAATAAGCTAGTAAATATTGCATTAAGGAATCGATTTGACAGCAGTACAATGGCTGAAGAATTCATAATGTATGAGCGTCAATTTTAATTTGTCAAATTTTAAATGATGGTTAGAGCATTTTTCCATAACACTCACAAAATATAGACTAGCTGTTGCTTACATAAAGTTTTATTAGTTTATATTGAAAAACCAACATATCCAATGTAAAATTCACAACAAAAAATAATTCAATTATTAAATATTTCCATCACAAACTTCTCAATTTGAAAAACTTTTCCATTAATGCTCTCAAATTACTTCCATGAAACTATATTAAACTTTTCAAAATTATAAAATAAACTTTAATTACTATTACTCATTACGTCTCAAGGAAAAATGGATCAAGATACCCCAAATCCGTCAAAAATAGCAGAAAATTAAATTAAAAAACTTTCCAAGAAACCCAAACTCGTCCCATTTTAACAGCAAAACAATCCACCTTTTCCTATCCATTTACACATTTTTTTTTCATCGTCACAAAAATTATGTTCATTGTATCTATAAATAGCACTAAGTCCAACAGTGGATAATAAAAACGTACACGAAAGGTCAATGTTTGCTTATTCAAGAGGAAATGAAAAGAAAAAAAAAAGTAAATTTTTCCCTCCTGATTTTTTTTTTCTTTCCTTTAATTATTTCTATCGTTTCACCATTGACGGTAATTTAATATATGTACAGTGTCAGGGGTGCAGTTCGAGAACTGATTCAGGGTTGGAGGAGGATTTGGAGTTGAAATTGGTTCGATTTTTCTGAGATCTCTGAGAAAGCGCATCAGATTCTTCATCAAAGGACCAATAAACCTTTGATTGAGCTTCCTAAATCTTCAGCGTGTAGTTGGATCTTCCTTTCATATCTCAAGCCTCAGACTCTTAATCCTTCTTAGAGTTTAATTTGAGATTTCTAAAAGGATGATCTCTAGAATCCCCAACTTATTAAAAAACTGATTCCTTTCCATAGTACCCTTCTCATTCTTAGCTTAAGTCATCTCTCCTATTTTTAGCTTAAGCCTCCTGTCTTTCTTAGCCAAAGTTCCCTTTCTTATCCTTACCCGTAGTCCCCTCTCCGATCCTAGCCTTAGTCTTAGCTTTAAGTCTCCTCTTATCCTTTGTTAAAGTCCCCCCACCTTAGCCTAAGTCCCCCTTTCTCTATCTTTAGCTTTAGCCCCCTTAAAGAGCCCCACTCTAGATCAACTTCTAGGGTTCTCTTCAAAACTCCCCATTAAGTAACCTTTAGACTATGCTTCTATACAAGTTCGACCCCCCCCCCTCCTCCCCGCTTATTCTTTTCGAATTCACCCTTCTTCAACATTTGCCCCCTCACAGATCCCAATTTCAAGCTACCAACCAGAATTCATCTCATGGTTCCTTACAAAGCTACCCATCAGCAAATACCTAGGATCTCCTTTCTTTTGGCTACTCTACAACAACCCCCTCATTTTCAAACTACACCCCTGTAATAAAGAACCTTAATAAACTAAAAATAAAGAGACTTAACATGTACAGCAAACTGCAAGGAACCGCAAAATTAAATGAATTTTCATGTTGCAAATAAATCTTTATAAGAAAAGCGTAGCTAGAATGAATGATTTGTAGTCTTAAACGTGAGTTTTGTAGATGAAAATGGAGGATAAGATGTTTCCAAGAGAGGGAATGAGAAATTAGGGTGATTTGGCAGGGAATAAAACTACATGTTAAGGATTTATGAATAATATGAAAGGTAAATAAATGGAATCGTTGTTATGAGATTATGGCATAAAAGGAAGGGAAAGTGTAGCTGTGGGATAACTCAGTGTATATGTATAAGAATCCAATTAGTTGTGAAATGTTTGAAGGAATAATGTGTTTGCTGAGTTAATCATGAATGATTGTTTGTGCGTTATATTTTGGGAAACAATTTACTGTCTCCCCCGAATATGACGTTTTGAACAAAATTGTTGATTTTGAAGCTAACTTGTTGAAAGTAGATTATTTTTTGATCAATACATAAAAATATTGTATTAAAAAGAAAGAACTATGCAACTATAGATCTATAAAATATTTTACAGCATACCCTTCCACTTTACAACCCTCATTGTTCTCCTTTACGACAGCATCTTCAAAGGTGTCATTTTCTCGATAATTTTATGTCAAATATTCGAACTTTATCGTTATGATGATCTCATTTTCCACTCGACTCACCTCACCACATCACAACCATGACCATTACTTCTATAGAAACTATGTCCCATGGGTTTAAAAATTTGCAACATTTTTTTTTTTATTATTCCACTTAATAAATTCTCTTGTTTTTTCATCATAAAAAATAAAAACCCTTCAAAAAAATATTTTTTAATCAATGTGCACGCGCCTTTCATTCCAATCCTGAATGTGAATTCATACATGATAAAGAATGTTGAATGGAATCTACTGGAGGGAAAAAATTCTCATCTCATCACTTTCAACCCCTCTTTTTTTTATATGTGAGTGCCTTTTTCACACTATTTTCAATGTGCTCTTTTTTATTTGGGTTTTACAACCGTTTTGTGTACTTTGGCTTGCTTCTTCTTCTCCTCTTTTTTTACTTCACACGTTGTGCACTTTTGTGTCAGATGAGAGAATTCCTTTTATTCTCCTTCATTTGAATTTTTATTAGCGTTTTATTGTAAAACATATGTGAACTTTATGGGATGCAT